AACAGGCAGAGGTGAGGCTAGAAGAGTTCTTCCCCAGACCCTCCAGAGGGAAGTAGCCCTGCCTTGACTTAGATTCTATGCACAACAACTATGAGCAGACACAGTGGTATGACCCTAAGCCAGTGCAAGTTTGTGGTCATTTGCTGGGAAACTCACATGGAGACGTAAAGCCCAGGCTGTTCTTTGTCCATTTGTTTTCCTGAGCATTCCCAGGAAAGGAGAACGAGAAAGAGTTCACACTCCATGTGAGAGGTAGTGGTGACCACGGTCTGAGTCCCTCCCCCAGAGTGGTTCAGGCTCTGAGGCAGCTGCTCCAACACCTCCCGTGGCTTTGGTCCTCACCACCCTCCTGGGGTTGACTTCCTTACTGTCCTTTTTCAGGTGAGTCATCTGAGGCTCAGAGAGTTGAAAAGACCTGCTAAAGATGACCAAATATGGGCTCCCTTAAAGGTCTGTGTGATTCAAAACCCCTGGTTTTCTGCTGTGTCACATCATCTGAAAAAACGTGCTCTGTCCGAAAGGGATTTGGGTTGTTCTTTTTCAACCTCTGTATCCTAACACTCCTCCTCTTCCCTTTCCTTATACTCATGATAGTAGGAAACATTTCTTTTTAATTTTACATGTTTTTTTTTTTAAAGATTATTTTTAACATAGGTATTTCTACATAACAATCCATAGGCATTTGTATATATGCATACACTACAAAATGATTAATTGAGCGTTGTATGTTTTTATCAAAGGAAACACGCAAAGATTTCTCCAAAGTCCTGTTTGACTAGAGATGATTAATTTTAATTTTCACATGAGCGGCATAATGCTATTAATCATTTAATATGTTTAATCATAATCTCTGTAATTCCTAATTAGGTTTATTAAACTGAAACATCCAGCAGTTGTGCACAAACCCAAATCTAAGTCCCCTTCTTGGGATGAGAAGAAGCTCGCTTTAATTTTGCATTTAAATAGAAACTTTTAACAGGATAGAAAAGGAAGAGACTGGAAGCAGGGGTGTTAGCTGTTGCTTCTGCAGACTTGGAGTCTGGTGGTAGCCCTAAGTCCCTTACCTCTCGGAAAAGTGGCAGTCATGATTCAAGGTCATTTCTGTGTCATGGGAATAGAACCAAACCTCGGGTTACCAACCTCCGTGGTACGTTACTGTTCTTAGACTATCGTTTGAAGATGGCCAAGCTGATTGTTCAATTAGTTTATTTATGCACACATCATTAATTCATTCTGTGAGTCAGACAGCCATTAAACAGACATTTGTCATTTGTGTCACGTGCTGGTCTATATCACATCCTTGCTATGGTCCTCAAGGCTTTTAGGATGAAGGTCAGACCCTTACTTTGCACACAGGGCCCCTGGTGATCGAACCCCTGCCCTGCCTACCTCTGTGATCTCCTCTTGTCTTTCTTCATGCCTACCCCCTCTGGCGAATGCTGCTAAATCCACCTATGCTCTGAATCCCGAACGTTATTTCCCCTCTCCGCCTCTTTGCCCCTGCTTTTCTCTCTCTTGGTATAGGCTTTGTCCCCTTCACCTCTACCCCTAGACGTCAGATATAGCCTTGAGAATTTAACCTTCAAAACTGGCAAACCTCACTGAACCTCTGGCTATGTGTACCCCTGATTTAAGGCTACTCAGCCCTGTGTCATTTATTCACTGTCATTCCAGAACCACATAATGGTCTTTTCTCTCCCTCTTTTTCTTCCACTGAACTAGGAACTGCATGTGATCTGGAGGGCTGACCGAAGTGTCTAGCACACAGTTGCAGCTCAGTGAAGATGTGTATAATAAGCAAATCAGAGCCTTTGTTTTCCCAAAGAGGTTTATTCCTCTCTTCTGACGTTTCTTAAAAATCACTATCACTCTGAAAACACTTTGTTTTTCATTTATTGACAGCAAATCAGCTCAGAAGAATGGGATGTGGGCCAGCCACTGGGAGGTCTTGAAAATGCAATTCATGGAATGTTTGGAAGGAGAACGCAAATGAAATCCTCTAATACCAGTAAATACCAGTGTTGATGAGAAAGTTGTTAATGAAGCATGTTATTTGAATGTTTCTTTTCTATTTCACATTGTTAAGATTGTCTCCTACTGGAGGGCCAGTAGGTGGTGTGGAGGTTAAGGCACTGGACTCCAACATGTCCCACCATGGTTCAAGTCCTGGACCTAGTGACTTGCTTTCTCACTTTCTCTCTCTCTCTCCTCTCTCTGTCTCTTTCTCTCTGTCTCTCTCTCTGTCTCTATCTCTGTCTGATGAGCATATACACTTCATAGCAAAGTTAAATAATAATAAATACAACAAATAATTTTTGAGAGCTTTATAGGGCATGTGTGCTCACCAGAGAGACAGAAAGACAGAAAGAGACAGACAGAAAGTGAGAAATCATTTCCCAGCGAGATGGCCATGCCACAATCCCTTTTCCCCTCATTCTCCTCTCCAGATTTTGGGCACTCATGCACACGCACCTGCTGTGAGTTTTAAGCTGCCAGGTCTGGGGCTCAACCTGAGGTCAATTACGTGAGAGTCTAGAGACATAACCATTATGCCATCTGCTGGTCCCGAGCCAGTCTTTTCTAAAAAGAATATTTATTGGAACCAGCAGATGGCATAATGGTTGCATCACTGTACTCCCATGTAGTCGACCATAGTTCAAGCCCTGGACCCGGCAGCTTCAAATTCACTTCAAGTGTATGTGTGTGTGTGTGTGTGTGTGTGTGTGTGTGTGCCCAAAATTCTGAGAGAATGGAGGAGAAGGGATTGCAGTATGGCCATCCTCCCTGGGGGGAGTGATTTATCACTTTCTGTCTGTATGTCTCTGTGGCAAGTGCACACGTCCTATAGCAAAAATCTCAAAAAAAAAATAAAAAGGGTTTGTTCCTTCTCGGGTCTTTATTATTTTACACCTGGTGCCTGCATTGGTAGTTCTGTCCCACTTATATGCTTCCAAACTGCTGATTAGTAATCAAGGCTGAGTCCTTCCTCATTACTGTGGTAGGCTTTGGCACAAGCTCTCCATCAGTGTCAGAGAAGCAAGTATTGCCTGTAGATGGCATCTACTGCCACCTGGAGGCAGCATATGCTAATTGCAGATAAAGTATCTAAAAACCAAGTGTTGAAACTCAAGAACAGATGGCAATGGCCATCATCTACCCAATGTCATTGTGACTTTTCTCCTAGTTCCTGACTGTATATGAATGTCAGTGTAGTATCATGTTATCCAGGCTTGTTATTGGAGGGGAGGAAGGGAGTGGGAGTGGAGTAGTTAGTTATGCTAATAAAGTTACATCATCTACACCAACATTGTCCAGCAGAACTTCCTGCAGCAATGGAAATGTTCTTTATCTGCATCTTTCAGTATGGAAGGACAAACTGCCTCTGGCTATTAAGCACCTGAAATGCAACTAATGCAAACAAACTAAATTTTCAGTTGTATTTCATTTTAATTCACTCAAATTTAAATAGCTGCATGTGGTCAACTATAGTGGACAGCCCAAATGTGTACAATTGAAAAACTAAAAAAGTTTCTTTAAAAAGGAGCCAATCTGCTGGTTATTTGGATTGAGAATACTACATAGCCTTTTCTGACTTTTTACTACATTTATTTAATTCATCTGTACAGCCTCAACAATTATGGAGGCAAATGTTCAGGTTCTGAAAAACATCAGTTAAGGGTACATATAGTCTCCCTTTCTTGAGATATTTCACTCTCCACTGTCCAAACCCCAGAACCTCCTACCCCCTTTTCCTTGCCTTATTTTTCTCTAAAGTACTTATTTCCTTTCTTTTCTCTTCTTCTCTTTCTCTCTCTTTATTTTAGAGAGAGATTTTTGCTATAGAGTGCCTGTCCGAGAGACAGAGAAAAACAGAAAGTGAGAAATCACCTCCCCAGGAGGAATGGCCATGCCACAATCCCTTCCCTTCCATTCTTCTCTCTGGATTTTGGGCACATACACACATGAACCGGGCATGAATTTTAGGCCACCAGGTCCAGGACTCGAACCATGGTCGACTAGCTGGGAGTCCAGTGATGTAGCCATTATGCCATCTGCTGGTCCTTTATTTTTTCCCTTTCAACTTGTCTTGGTTTGTTAATCTGTCGCTAAACAAATACCCGAGTCTGGGTGGTTTAAAACGAAGAGAGGCCTTTTTGGTTCACAGTTCTGGCAGCGGGGAAGTACAGAGGTTGGGCGCTGACATCAGCCCCACCTCTAGTACTACATCACAGTGTGGCTGATGGATGCAGAGAGGAAAGTGGGCACGTGCAGAGTGAGACAGCATCCCTACCCTGTTTGTTCCGCCCACACCACGAGATTGGGTGGTGCCCTTCCATTCACCCCACCTCTTTAAGATCTCACCACTGGGGCCAGCAGGCGATGTGGTAGTTAAGGTGCTAGACTCCCACCTGGGTGACTGTAGTTCTCGTCTTGGATGGGGTGGCTTGAAAATCACAGCAGGTGTATGTGTGTGGAAGCCCATGGCCCCAGAAGCAGAGTGAAGAAGAAGGGATTGGGGCATGGCCATCCCCCCATGGGTGATTTCTCACTTTCCCTTTCACTGTTTTTCTTTTTACAGGCAGCACATGAGCCCTATGGTAAAACCTTAAAACAAGACAAAACAAAGCAAAATTCCCACCACCATCCCCAGCCACTACACTGGGACCAAGCTTCTGGAACATGAACCTTTGGGGGAACAAACCATAGCTCAGCTCTACATTTATTTGTTATTGGGCTTCACTGTTTGTCTTTCCCTCATGAGAACTATGCTCCACATGGGAAGGAATTTTTGTATGCTTTGCTCGCTGTTGAATCCCAGACCTGTGGTAGGAATGAAGTAGGTGCTCAAAATGTATTTGCTGAATAAACTACTCAGCAGCTTTTCTCTTCCCTTATTCCTTTCTTCTGCCCTCTTTCTACCACTGAAGGGAAGCAAAAGCACATTGGAACCCACATTTAAGTGCACTCAGAGCCTCTTTGCTTTCCTCTCGTTCTTTTAGCAGACAGACGACGCAGCACCGACGGATGGCCAGCCCCAGACACAGCCTTCTGAAAACACGGAAAACAAGTCCCAGCCCAAGCGGCTGCATGTCTCCAATATCCCCTTCAGGTTCCGGGATCCAGACCTCCGACAAATGTTTGGTGTAAGTACTGCCTGTCTCCTCTGCAGTGCCCACTCTGGGGTCCCACAGTGTTACTACCCTCATGTAAGCTCTTGGTATTTTGGAGGGCTAAGATGAGGTATTTCCATGGGGAGAAAAAGGGCAGTTCAGAGCCTCATCTATGAGTTGTTGTGGCTGAGATCTCTTAGCAGCTGTAGTGTAAATTGTTTGCATGTGCTCAACCTGTTTCTACGTTGCCAAATAGTCAAATTCTAAAGAGTAACTTGAATTTGGTCAAGTACAAAATAAACCACTAGGGGGACCAGCAGTTAGCATAATGGCTATGTTGCTGGACTTCCACGTGGTCGACTGTGGTTCGAGTCCCAGACCTGGTAGCTGAAACTCATGCCAGTCTCATGTGTGTGCGTGCTCAAGAGCCTGATAGGAGAATGGAGGAGAAGGGATCGTGGCGTGGGCATCCCCCTGGGGGGCGATTTCTCGCTTTCTGGCTCTCTGGCTCACTCTGTCTGTCTGGCAAGCGCATGCGTCCTATAGTGAAAAAAGAAAAAAAAACTCTCCAAAAAAGAGAAAAATAAATAAACCACTAGGTTGCCCACTGCTGGTGATCCAAAACCCAGTGGTCCAGGACCCTGTGTCATAGTAAAATCAACATCTTCAGTCATTTTTGTTCTGATAGCACTGCAATTCCCAAATGATCGGGAAGAGTGACTCATGGCATTTTCCTGTACTCCCGACTCTT